AATATAGTAGCACAAATGTAGTTCTGAAATCTTTAATATAGAAATTTTTCTATTTTATTAAATAAAGTTTCAACTATGGCATTTACAACAAAAAAAAAAATAAATAAATAAATATTGCCTGCAGATACTCGCTGGTGCTCTTATTATTTTTGTTTTTATTCTGTTATAAAACTCAAGCTGTTTTGAAAGTAAGATTTTTTATATTTATATATTTATTATACAATACATAAATATTTATATATTTAATAATTTATATAGTTTTTTTCAGCAATATATAATAAACATCGATCGAATGTATTACGGATTAATGGTATTCCAACTGTACCAACAAATAAAAATATAAAGTATAAAAATAATGAACAAAGTTACCTGATAATATAGCAGACATAATTAATGATTCAGAATTTTAGAGAACTTTATCCTCATTACAAAATTTGCTCTATCCTTTATGCAGATTTCTTAATAAATTGCAAAAAGATACAGCAAGATTATATGAAGTTGTGTTTTGTTTTGCTCACACAATAAAAATTTTTTCAAACTATCCAAATAAAGAGTTTGCAACAAAAATAGTTGATCGAATCGAATATCGATAGAAATGTTGAGAACAACCATTATTAATATTATCAATTGTTCTTCATCTAGCATATAAACTTACTAAATTTAATAATACAGTTAATAATCTTACTTGGACACATATCAGACAATGGCTAAAGTATTATTTTCAAGCATTTTTTAGTTTGCCATCACGATCAATTCTTGGTGAGATGATTAAATATAAATGGGAAGAAGTTCCTTATAATAATGCATCATTTCAACAATTTTAAAGAAATTTATTTGATTTTTGGGAATCTACAGAAGGTGTTGGTCCCAAATTAGCTAAATTAGCTATACATATTCATGGAATATGCATTAATTCTGCATCAGTTGAACGACTTTGGTCTTCTATGGGTTTTTTGCATACAATAAAATGGAATAGTTATCGGTATAAATTAATTAATTTTATTATTATATCATACTAAATTGCTATATTTCTGTATGTCTATTATATATAATTACTAATAATTATTTTATTACATAGCCTAAAAAGTTTTGGCAATGAGCCAAATACGCAGTAATATTTTATATAACCGTAATAATAATAATCAAAAAACAAATAATAAACAAATGCATATTGCAATGCCTATCTCATATAATGATAATTCTGAAGGTGAAAGTAATCAAAATGAAAATATTAGTAATTTTTAAGATGAGAATATACAATTATCAGAAAGTGATGATGATGAATCTATTGATGACTCTATAGTCAATGAAGAAATCAATGGATTGCGGTTGTTAACCAATGGATTGATGAAACACAATATGAAAATAAAGTAGGCGATAAAAGAGATGAATTTTTTTTAGATAATGAATTGGAAGAAGATTTTAATTTAGCAGAAAGAAATATTCATCTTGCAGATGATAGTTTGGCTAAATGGGATTTGATTACTTTATTTGGTGATGATTTGAAAACAACACCTTATTTAATGGCGGATTTAATCGATTAACATTAATATTTCTATTTTTTATATTTTGTCTTACAAATTAAAACTTTGCTTTTTTTATAATTTGATATTATTACCATATATAGGGGTTGACTAGAGTTAATTCAATGCATAAATCACATTCTTGATATCTATATAACTCACTAACTCTAACTGCATCAAAAAGATAGCTCTAAATCTCATTCCACTTTAGCCAATATATAAAATATACAAGAGCTCAAATTGTTGCTTTTTACAATAGTAATAAAAGATTTTTTATACTATCTCCAGTAACCATGCTTGTTTTGATCTTTATTATAGTTTTAATGTTTTTTTTTTACCTTACTTTCAAATTAGAAAATATAAAAGATTAGATTCTGTAGCACTTTAGTTAAATAATTGAACCTAAATAAGAGTTTGCTATTGAAAGAATACTCGAAACTTATTATTAGTACTTTAACTCTTTTCAATTTTCTCTTTCGCTAGTTAATTGAATAAAATAAGACTTATAATTTAGAAACCAGAAAGGTAAAGATATAGTGATCAAAATATTTATAAGCTACATATTAAAACTTATCTTACAAATCAGAAAGATAAAGATATAGTGATCAAAATATTTATAAGCTATATATTAAAACTTATCTTACTATAACTCACTCTCATTATTGTAAACCCTCGATGTAGTGAAGATTCAGCATAGTGAAGAATTTTGAATTATGAAATCATTAGACTTTAACTTGATATAGTGAAGTACATATAATATTTCCTTGATATAAGCTATATGAAGATTTATTTTTTCAGCCCGCAACTTAATTATAACAGAAGTAAGTTGTATTATTATTATACCTCATTTATTCACATCTTAATTTTTTTTATTCATAACCAAAATGATTATTCATTAATCAAAATATTTATATAATGAGAGGTTTGGATTTTTCGATTTCATTAGTAGATATTTTAATTATTTTAATTTGTAGAGATCATAATATTATATATAACTATTTTCTGTTTCTTGCAATACTAAATATGTATTCTATTTAGATAAATTTTGTTTAAGTATAAAGAGTATATGTACAATAATTTACTCAAGACAAACAGCAGAGACAGTGCCTGATCCAGAGTGAATCTCTCTCTCTTGTGACCAATCACAAATTAAATTATTTATATTAGATAATATATATGTAATATTAATGGTCTTTTCTGTTCTCAAGATACGAATTTTAAGTTCGATGAGTTTAATAACAACACTACTTTGTAGATTCCAAACATAGTAAGCGGTGATTTCAATGAATAGAATGAATATGTTCTAATTTTAGTAGTTAAGTTTGTAATTTTATCAATAGGTGGATTTTTAATTTTAAAGTAAATGGATAAGGTTGCAATTTCAGCAGCATAGATTTATGATTTCAATAGTGTTAGCTCATGATATTAACAGTAGGTAAGTTCATTATTTAGCAGTGTAGATTTATAGCTTTAATGATGAGTAGATTCTCTTTTAGATAGTTTATAAATAGAGATAGGATAAAATAAACGCCTGTAAATCTTCTACAAAAATTAATTAAAAAATTCTCTCTAACGTGACTTGATTCTAAAGATTTCATTACATCTGATCTTTTAATCAAATTGAATAAAAATCATGAGGGAGAATTTTTGGTAGGAGACCTACCAACAATAATAAAATGCATATGATTCAGAATAATGCACATGCGAAGAATCATATGCATGCATGAAACCTATCTCTATTCATAAACTTTTGTATAATTACTCAATTATAGATAATTTTTTGTTTATTTTCAGCCAAGTTACAAGAAACACAAAGCCAAATTCTATACCAATTTCTTTAATATTGATATAATCTAGTCTATCAAAAAAAAGTATTTTCGACAAACATTCAGTATCGATACATATTTTATAGAAAACCTCTGAAATATCTATATTATATTATATATTTAATAAAAAGAATCCAAAAATTTTAAACAAATAAGAAAATTAATTTCAGCAACTATGAAAGACTAATTTCATCTAACTAAATACTATTATAATTTTTTATTATGATAGGTAATTTAGGCACACTTGTATGTATCAAATAGATCTATCTCTATACTCATTTGTTCTAAAATAAAATACATTTATCAATCAACAATCTCTATTTTGCTTGTCTATTTCTAAGTTGTCTATCAAGATCACACTACTGATACTATTGTACAATTTTTATTGTGATATATATCTTTCTTACTATTTTTTCTCACAAATTAAACACTTATTATATAACATGAAATAAAATAGTTTAAGCTAATAAATAACTTAATACTAAATTTACATAAATAAAATAGCAAGCATTCATATAGTTTATTTAAATATGTAATAAATATTTTTTTATTAATGTAAATAAAATTAAATAGTGCATCTGGATCAATTGTAACTTAATTGATGATCTGTGAGTCACCTAAAGAAAATGATCAACATTCATTAATTAAAAATAACGCAAATTATATAATAAAAATCCTAATACGGAAATGTGAGATTTTTATAGATATACCAATACATATACGTATGCACACATTCAAAGTATATTTAGTACTGTACGTACTTACATATGTATGCATATAAATACATCTTAAGCCTTGCTTTTTATAT